AGACCCCTCCGGGACGCCCAAGATAGGCCCAAGATGGCCCGAGAGGCCCCCCAATGCACTCCACTACGCTTCGAGACGCCTCTCCAAAGCGCTTCAAGAGGCCGAAATCGTCAATTTTACGAAGATTTTCGAACGATTTTGGCCTTCCAGCCTTTTCGGCTGTCCGACGTTCCAAGACGGCTCAATAGGCCCCCAAAAGCGCCCCAAGACGGCCCAAGAGGGTCCCAAGACGGCCCCAGAGTCGCCCAAGACAGCCCAACAGAGCCCCAAGACGGCCCCAAGATGCGCCCAAGACGGGGACCACGACTCCAGAATTCTACCCTCCCGCTTGAAGAGTGCCCCAGGAGGCCCCAAGGAGCCCCCGAGAGGCCCCAAGAGGCCCCCAAGAGGCACCCAGGAGGCCCAAACGAGGCCTAAAAAGGCCAAAAAACACCCCCGAGGAGGCCCCACAACGGTCCCAAAGCGGCTACCGAGAAGTTGCGAAACTCCCTTCACGACGTCCCCGACAAGCCAACCACGAGATCCAAACTAACACCCATGAGGCCTTTGACCCACAACCCAGGGCACGGTGGCGGGAGCAGTGACAGCACTTGTGCACAGCATGTTCTGGCGGGAGCCTTCCGGAACACGCTGCGGGAGGATGAGGAAGATCAGGAGGAGGAGGGGGACGAGGAGGAGGAGGAAGAGGCCTCCAAGACAGCTCCAAGGTAGCCGAAGAGACTTCCAAGAGGGCCCTGGGCGGCCCACGAGGCCCCAAGGCGGTTCCTGAGGCGCCCAAGACGACCCGAGAGGGCCCCAAGACGTCCCCAAGAGAGGCCCAAGAAGGGAAACACGAACCGAGAATCCGAGCTTTCTACCCCGAGAGGTTTTCGGGAAGTCCCAAGAGGCCCCCAATCGGATCCAAGAGGCCCCCAAGAAGCTCCCAAGAGGGTCAACGAGGTTCCAAGAGATCTCCCAAGGTGGCCCCAAGAGGCACAACTCATTGTTTTACGATTGGGTTTTGACGGGTTTTAATTTTTCCGGCCTTTCGGCATCCCGATGCTCCAAGACGGCCCAAGAGGCTTCCAATACCGCTCCCATATAGAGGAAGAGGCCTCCAAGAGGGCCCCAAAACGGCCCGCGAGGGCCCCAAGACGGTGCTTGAGGCGCCCAAGACGGCCCGAGAGGGCCCCAAGAGCCCCAAGAGACGCCCAAGAAGAGGAGCGCGACCCAACAGCAGAGCGTCCCCCCCAGAAGGCCCACAGGAGGCCGCAAGAGGCCCCCAAGTGGTCCGACGAGGACCCCAAAAACTCCCCGAGGGCTTAAAAGGCCCCTAGGAGACGTCCAAGAGGCTTTAAAATAGCCCAAGAGTGCCCTCGATGCGTCAAAACTGCTTCCAGGAGGCCCCCGGGAGGCTTCCGGATTGCCTCAATCTGGCCGCAGGTGGCCTCAAGTCGGGCTTCCACGCAGCCAGTCAGACGCCCCCCCCAAAAAGCACCCAAGAGGTGCCTCGAACAGCCAGTTGACGAAGCATGCGGAACACCCCAAAAGCTCCTCAGATGCCGTCGCGCGCCTGTGCTTGATGGCGTTGTCCAAAATCGTCCAGCGCCCCCCCGGCCTGGGCTAGAGCCTAAGCGCGCGCTCAGGATGGCCTGGACAGTGTGCCTGGGCCCGGGCATGCTGTCCTGAGTCCTGAATGGATGAGCATCTCACCCAAAGCCACAATTCCCGGATTCCTTGGGGCCTTCGGAGATGCCGCGACGACGTTAAGAAGCTGGGAGGCGCGGTACCGGCCAGATGTCAGGGGATATGTAGGATCCCCGAGTAGGAGTTCTCTATTTTGATGAAAAAAGAATTATTGGAATTCCTCTTTTTTTTTCTCCCCCAAATCCTCGATCTTTGAGGGCTGGAATCGGGAAAACTTGAGAAGGCGAAAAACATAGGAAAAACCATTGGAAATCAACGATTTTACCCTCTTTGGGCTCTCTCGGGACGGCTCTCGCAGCTCTCTTGGGCTATTCTTGGAGCCTCGTCGGGGTCTCTCTGGGGCCTCTCAAGGATGGGGGGTGTGTTGGGGGCCTCTGGGGGGTCCCGGAGGAGGTCTCTGGAAGCCTCCTGCTCCCGCTCTTGGGCCCATCTTGGGCCTGTTCTGGGGTGGTCTGGGGCTGTGCTGGGCGCCTCTTTGGCAGTCTTGGAGCATTCTTGGCCTGTCTTGGGGCCGTCCTGAGGGTCTCTTTGGTGGTCTTGGGCCGGTCTTGGGAGGCTCTTCGGCGCTCTTGGACCGTTGGAAGCTCGAAAACGCGAGAAGCCAAAAATATTGAAAAGACCATTGAACATGTACGACTTTGGCCTCTTCGGGCCGTACCGTGATACCTATCAGACTTCTTGGGGTCTCTTGGAGGCCACCTGGGAGCCTCGAGATCTTTTCAACGCGTTCCGGGAGCATCTTCCCGGAACGCGCTCGTGGCAGGGCGCCCACGTCCGAGGACGTTGGCATGGGAAACCGCAGCGCGTGATCATTCCAGGCGTTCGGCGGACTCCAGGAAGACTGCATGTCTTTTATGAGGATGGCTTCCGCCTCTTGCCACGAGCATCCCAAACTGCCTGAACGGTTCCCACTCGCCTTCCCAAACCCAGCGCTTGCCCAAGCGCGTTCCGGACGAAAGACCGCTCCAGGACGCCCAAGATAGGCCCAAGACGGCCCGAGAGGCCCCCCAAGGCACTCCACGACGCTTCAAGACGCCTCTCCAAAGCGCTTCAAGAGGCCGAAATCGTCAATTTTACAAAAGTTTTCTAACGATTTTGGCCTTCCAGCCTTTTCGGCTGTCCGACGTTCCAAGACGGCTCAATAGGCCCCCAAGAGCGCCCCAAGACGGTTCAAGAGGGTCCCAAGACGGCCCCAGAGTCGCCCAAGACAGCCCAACAGAGCCCCAAGACGGCCTCAAGATGCGCCCAAGAGGGGGACCACGACTCCAAAATTCGACCCTCTGGCTTGAAGAGTGCCCCAGGAGGCCCCAAGGAGCCCCCAAGAGGCCCCAGGAGGCCCCCAAGAGGCACCCAGGAGGCCCAAACGAGGCCTAAAGAGGCCACAAAACAGCCCCGAGGAGGCTCCACAACGGTCCCAAAACGGCTACCGCGAAGTTGCGAAAGTGCCTTCACGACGTCCCCGACAGGCCAACCACGAGATCCAAACCAACACCCATGAGGCCTCTGACCCACCACCCAGGGCGCGGTGGCGGGAGCAGTGACAGCACTTGTGCACAGCATATTCCGGCGGGAGCCTTCCGGAACACGCTGCAGGAGGAGGAGGAAGATCAGGAGGATAGAGAGCTGGAGTGGGAGGAGGAGGAGGGGGACGAGGAGGAGGAGGAAGAGGTCTGCAAGACAGCTCCAAGATAGCCGAAGAGGCTTCCAAAAGGGCCCTGGGCGGCCCACGAGGGCCTCAAGGCGGTGCCTGCGGCGCCCAAGACGGCCCGAAAGGGCCCCAAGACGGCCCCAAGAGAGGCCCAAGAAGGGAAGCACGAACCGAGAATCCGAGCTTTCTACCCCGAGAGGTTCTCGGGAAGTCCCAAGAGGCCCCCAATCGGATCCAAGAGGCCCCCAAGAAGCTCCCAAGAGGCCGACGAGGTTCCAAGAGATCTCCCAAGGTGGCCCCAAGAGGCACAACTCATTGTTTTACGATTGGGCTTTGACGGATTTTAATTTTTCCGGCCTTTTGGCATCCCGATGTTCCAAGACGGCCCAAGAGGCTTCCAATACCGCTCCAATACAGAGGAAGAGGCCTCCAAGAGGGCCCCAAGACGGCCCGCGAGGGCCCCAAGACGGTGCTTGAGGCGCCCAAGACGGCCCGAGAGGGCCCCAAGAGCCCCAAGAGAGGCCCAAGAAGGGGAACGCGACCCAACAGCAGAGCGTTCCCCCCAAAAGGCCCACAGGAGGCCGGAAGAGGCCCCCAAGTGGTCCGACGAGGACCCAAAAGCTCCCCGAGGGCATAAAAGGCCCCTAGGAGACGTCCAAGAGGCTTTAAAATAGCCCAAGAGTGCCCTCGATGCGTCAAAACTGCTTCCAGGAGGCCCCCGGGAGGCTTCCGGATTGCCTCAATCTGGCCGCAGGTGGCCTCAAGTCGGGCCTCCACGCAGCCAAGACGGCCAATGACGGCTTCAGATTGCAGAACCGATGCCCCCAAGGGACCCTCAGACGCCCCCCCAAGAAGCACCCAAGAGGTGCCTCCAACAGCGAGTTGACGAAGCATGCGGAACACCCCAGAAGCTCCTCAGATGCCGTCGCGCGCCTGTGCTTGATAGAGACGTCCACGATTGTCCAGTGCCCCCCCGGCCTGGGCTGGAACCTGAGCGCGCGCGAAGCGCGCGCGATGGTTCTAGTATATATACATATATATGTATATACATACGTAACTTAGAGAGATGGGTATGCATCCAGAGAGGATATATATATATCTATATATATATATCTATATAGAAACAGGGAGAGAGAAGGATAGAGGCAGAGAGAGATAGCAGCAAATAACGATGAAGAGATGGGGGGAGAGAGAGAGAGAGAGATAGAGCGAGAAAGAGAGAGAGAGAGAGAGAAAGAAAGAGAGAGAGAGGGAGAGAGAGAGAGGGAGAGAGAGAGAGAGAGAGGGAAAGAGAGAGAGAGAAAGAGAGAGAGAGAGAGCGAGAGGGAGAGTGAGCGGAGGAAGGGAAGGGAAAAGCAGAGAGAGGAACAAGGAGAAAGAGAGAAAGAGAGAGGGAGACAGGAACAGAGAGAGAGAGAGAGAGGGAGAGAGAGAGAGAGACACAGAGATAGAGAAGATGGTGGATGGAGAGAAAAACCAGGAGCTTGCACCAAGATGTCTCTTCGCGCGCTCGCCCAGCTTACCCTCCCCATCTCTACCCTTCCCCTTCCCCCCTCAGCCCCTCCCTCTCCCTCCCTCCCCATCTCCCCCACTCCCCGGTCTCCTTCAACCTCCATCGCGCCTGCTTCGGTCAGCCTCTGGGGGCGGCTCTTCTCTTTTGGGCGAG